CACCTTGTGGTCAATTCGATTCATGACTCATCCTTTTTTGCATTGAATAACTAAGTAACTTTTACTCAAATTACACTTTAAATGAAGTAATTTTGTACTTTTACTTGAGTAAATTTTGAGATGGGTAATTTTACTTTTACTCTGAGTAAAATTTAGGCAAAGTAAAGATACTTTTACTCAATTACAATTTTTTAGTACTCTTTCCACCTCTGGTGGTGTTATAGTTTAAAGATTTAACGCCGCCCCTCGGAACATTTCTTCCTGCACATCATTGGGCTAGTAGGCTGAGAGAGGGAGAAAAACCTCCACACAACAGACCCTTTCACTCGCTCCATCATAAAAAATATGTCCGTGTTGTGTTGTTGTGCTTCCGCATGACGGCAGAGCATATCATAGAGTTAGAATTAATCAAATTGTCACCGATACCGATCTAATTTTCTTTCTTTATATCTGGACCGATACCGATAAAAATATTGGATCGGTGCATCCCTAGGATAAACGCAAATCTGACGTCTTGCGCATGCGTAAAGACTAATGGTTACCCGCGTTAGAGATCATCTTACTCTGACATGAATATGAGCTCAGGCATCACAAAGGTTTTCTCTTTTAATAAGCTGAGGAGTCATTGATAAAACCATCAAAGTAATTCTGCCTGCGGAGCTCAAACAGCTAATAGGAGCAGGATTCTGCTCGGCTTATACAGTCGTTAAGGAGGAGGAGGTGAGACCCACTGACAGCCACGCCTTTATGTTACAGCTCCTGTAGGAAGCTTCTCCTGTCAGACGTACCGGTTCAGACAGGCCCCCTGTGATCATGCTGCGGAGGAATACGCTCATGAATCACGTCGATGCTGCTCCGATCCAATCGGCCAATTAGCCGAAGCCTTTTTACCCACGTTGGTTCCTGATTGAGGAACAGAGGAAGGTTCATGTGTTCATGTGAGATCAGAAACAGTTTCTGCTGAAGCTCCCTGTCAGTCAGAGCTGATGTTAAACTGATTCCCGTTTTATGCAACGTTGGACCATTGGATTTATGTCCGTATGGAGGGAATTTCGTTCCGTTATTCTTGGTAGCAGATAACAGGTTTTGAAAATGGAATGTAAAAAAAAGGTCGATCTACAAAATAAACTTTGAACATTTTTTATCAATATAAGGTTTTGAAAGTAATTTTGGTCAGTTTTAAATAATTTTTTAAAGTTTAAAGTTAAGTTTAAAGTTCTTTTTGGTTTTTTTTTTATTTGTTGAACATTTTTTGTTTAATGTTTTTCAGATGGACTTTTACAATTTTCCTTCATGCTTTTTACTTCTGGGGATGGGCCTTCCTCTAGTGAAGATTCCTTTCTAATTTTATGTAAAAAAAAAAAATAAAAAATTGAAAAAAATTATTTATAAAAATCTGAAAAACAGAATTTTTTTTATAAAAAAATTAAACACAGAATGTGCTTAAAACGTTTAATTATAAAAAGGTAAAAATTGAAAATATAAAAAGTTAAACAGTTGGAAAAAAATGAAAAAAGCAAAATAATTAGAAAAAAAAATAAATGTCAATAAAACCAAGTTAATGCTGCCGTAGACATTTCTGACATCAGTGACGGTTCACTAATAAAAAGTACAACCTGAATACGAACTGGACCAAATGAAAAACATTAAATTGCCTTTTGGTCAGGCCAAATAGGCGGACACCTTTAAGGAAGAAGAAAACTCAAAAAATAAGTTAAACTCCTGCTTCAATTCCTGCCTTTTAAAATGAATCTAAGTTGCCTTTTTATCTAATATTAAACAAATAGTTTCACAGAGTTTAAAAGCCTCAAATGGACGATATCCACCTTCCATTTAACTAAAAACAATTATGCTTTATGTAACAGAACCTATTCCTCTTTAATTTAGGCCGTTTTTCAGTTTAAAAGAACGCGAGTACAGACTCGTGTCCTCGCCAAGTATGTTTTAGAGAAGAACACAAGAAATTGTGAAATCCAGGAGAACGGGAGAACACAGCATAAATATGGGTCAATATGGAAGCATACTGATGACATCACCACACGCTCTGCTCGTCTGGAGCTGCATTTACCCTCCTGTTATTAATAGTCTCTAGATAATAATGAATTCTGACCTCATTCATTAAGTGGGGGAAAACAATGAACACAGTCAGATAAACACAAATAAAACAAAAAAAAAGCAGTTTTTCACACATGGCTATGGCGATAGAGGGCTGCTGCAGAAGGGCTAACGTTAGCCCTGGCTGCCGTTAGCCTCGGAGGTCCGCTGGTTGTCGCAGTCCTCTCAACATCTGAACTATTTTTTTAATTACTTACTAAATCAGTAAATTGGGCCATATAGTGATGCTTAAAGTATAATATTTTCGCCTCAAATGATCTTAAAAAGTACTTTTATTAAACAACGGCAATAGAAAAGAAAACTTTTAACTTAATACTCTGAGCTCTGTGAGCGCTAACTCTGTGAGCGCTAACCTGGAAGCTGCTGCTGCAGTGCATGCTGGGACAGCTGTCAATCTCAAGAACGGACAAGTCTGCTCAGATGCATGCTGGGTAAAAAGGGAGGGGCATGAACAACATCCGGGGACTTTGTCCGTTCTCGGTCTTCTTGTTCCAGTGAATCGAAACAGTACTAGTGCTGAGGCTGATGACGTTTCACGAGCGTATGAGAACGCACGAGTACACATATTGAGAAATGGCTGAGTGCAGTAAAGGGTTTGCTGTGTTGAAAAGCTCATGGAGAACCTTTGTAAAAGTCTTTCTTCTCCTCCTTCTCCTCCTCCTCCTCAGCTCTTATGGAAGCAGGCTCAGAACTTCCCTCTGTTCCCGTCTCTTGGCGAAATGGAGAGCCACATGTTCGAATGCGTCAACCAGGCAGCTGTGCACGAAGAGCTGGAGGATGAAACCCGCCGGCTGTGCGACGTCCGGCCCTTTCTGCCCGTCCTGAAGCTGGTGACGCGCAACTGCGGACGAGCCGAGCGCCTGCTGGACTCCAAGATAGGAGTTCTCATTGGGAAAGGTAAGGCAGCGCTCCTGAGTCTCTGCACGACGTTTTCTAAGAAAACCCCACAGATAAATCCCACAGGTTAACTATTAGAGGACAAGATGGTTTACAGGATAAAAGTCCTGCAAAAGGTCGAAGGCTTGAATCAAATGCGACATGAGAGAGAAAAGATAAGAGTCCAGCAATAAGTTACTCTTTTTAGCCTTTCTAATCATTGCTCACATCCTGAAGATATAGCTCTAGAACCCGGTTGATCCTAACTAACCTCTATGCGAGGAAATATGATGAGAAAGAGGAGCTGTGGGTCTAAAAGATGGAGACCTGAGAGGATATTGATGGTTCTGCCTTCCTGGCTCCGCTGTGGTCTGACTTGATCTTTTAAAGCCTTTTGTTGAAGTAAAGTGGAACACCACAGGCATGCATGGATGGCCGTTTATCCTGCACTGCACACCAGCACACACTCATATGACCCACTGTGCCCCCCCCCCCATCATTGCAGTCACACAAACGGCCTACACTTTAAAAGCTAATAATGACCAGAGATCTTGTCTGAATGCTGAGGGTCATAAAATGCTGAGAGGCTGTAAATCACAGCGTGTTTTTATCAAGGGGCCTTTTGTGCTGCAACCTTTTTCTCCAGAAAAGCTGGGAAAGAAACGGAGGGAATGAAACGATCAGCTGGTCCGACGGTTTCCCAGTCGTCTTCAAAATATTATTCTTTGTCTTCTGCTAGGACTCCATGAGCTGGAGAACATCAACGACCAGGAAGTGAAGGACTTCCGCAGTAAGATGTTCCGTTTGAGCGAGGAGAAGATGCAGCGGGTGCAGATGATGACGTGCACCGAGTGGCTGCAGGCCTGCTTCTCCCCGCAGCTGGAGCCGGCGCCTTTGACCACTATCACAGACGGCCTCAATGACCGGCCGGCCGACCTTAAAGTCATCATCCACTTTGACCAGTCTCAGGTGAGAATCTGCAGCCTCATGCGACACAGAGGAGACATTGCCTCCCTAAAAGTCTCCTTTAAATTTTCCTTTTCTTTGTTGTTCTACAAACACAAAAATTTATCCATTTAACTCAATTATTGTGTTAAATATGGAGGATAAAAAGTGCCAAAATTAAATAAATAAATACAGCATTAAATAAATAATTAAATGTGTCA